GATCCACATAAATTCTGCCTTCCCCAAGACAGATGGGGGAATTAGGAGATGGAAACAGTTGCCTTGAACAAACCTGTGAAGTAGCAGCCATTACCTCTGTTCAGAAGCTCTTTGTATGATCCTCCTTCTCTGAAAAAAATATCCAATTTATTTGGGGAAATTACTCCAGATGTTAACAAGGAAGAGGATTCAGACTATGACCCATATTCACATAGAAGCCACCGGTTCTACCAGAAGCTACCAAATTAACAACATGCAAAGTTTTTGACACTAATAACGACCTGCAAAGTTTAAATTAGCCAAGGCACTGGAGACTGCAATGCACTGTAACTTCTAGCATTTTTTGTGGACTGAGAGTCCTTTTGCCTAGATTTCAGTTCAATCCTAAGAAGTTTTCTAGTGTTCCAATGCAATGACAAATACCTCACTTCTCTCCCTGACTTTTGAGTCTTCTTTCCTCATCCCCATTTCATCTGCTTGTATCTTTAGCTCTAGTGCAGTTCAAACAGGTCCTCAATTTTCAGTCTCTCGATTATTTAATAGCCTACTGTAAAACAGGATGGCAGTGTCAATGCAGAAATTTAGTTTCCTGCAAAAAGGGCCAAAGTCACAGTTTGTACACAAAGACACTTTAATGCAAATCAAATAGTACTACGTTTCATCCTAAGGTGCTCCACATCCTCAAACACTCAACATTGAGCTTCCCAGTTTTATCATTCCATCGAGAAATTCACTTTTAATCTAAACAACAGAATTTAAAAAACACAGTTCTTTAATGCTTCTCTTTTTTATTTAATCAATACTGTATTTCAATACCAACTATTAAATCTTTATGAGCAACAGGAGCATATTCTGCAAAGTTGTTGATCACTACATAGTACAACCTCAAAACTCTTATCCAAAACCCATGTATTCCAAAATTAGGTTTCCTCCCTCAACATGCAACATTTGAATAAAAAAGTCCTGACTTACTCCAAAAAATTCCACTGAGCAGTTATATAAACTCAGATCTCTTGACACCCACTCTGGCTTATGAAGACACAGGTTTATATAAAGGACCTTCAAGAGAAAATGAAAAATGAATATTATTTTGCTGAAATTTCCAGAGGATGCTAACACTTCCATTATCACAGCAGTATACGTATATAAAGACACTGTGTCCACTATATCGTACTATGCAATATAATATTTTTGAAGGACTATAACTGTTCTCTGTGAAAGGTTGTGGCATGTTATGCTGTGACTATATCAGAAACTACTATGCGACCATTCCATTTTATTTAAGCCTTCATAATTAGGAAAGTCTCTGTGTTGAAATTATATTTATTAAAAAAAATATATATCTTGCTTTAGATTAATAAAAAGTGCACATTCTGTAAGTGCAGATTCCATTTCACCATTTCTACTGCTTGTTTGTTCCTCGTTTCAGTTTCAATAGCCAGTTTTTCCTAACATGCTGCAAGGTTTGGAGTGCAGAAATGAAGGCTATATTTGCCCTTAATCAAAACACTGGTTTAAAAGATGTTGTTTTCATAACACCAACATATTTCAAGCAGTCTCAAGTATTGCAAAACCTCATTTTTCCATCCTACAGAACCAGAACTTCCATCACTAAATAGTGGCCTTTAAAAATAATCTGAAAGCAATATACAAAATATTTCAAGAGAGCAGAAGAGCTATACAGTTGAAATCAGCAACACAGACATTTTAAACATTAAAACAATCTTCCTGCTTTTTACATGAGACTTCTGGACACAAAAAGATCATGCATTTTGCATGGTTTTCTAGCCCCATATTTGTAAGAGGACAGGCAGATTTTCAGATAGATTTCTTATTTAGCTAACAGGAAAATAAATTGTATTTCAAATGCAGTGCTGATGCTGCCTAGATTCTCTTGCTCACATTCTTGGTAAGTACCAAACTTCTTGTCCTTGCTTCTGAGGTTTATGTTTATACTCAGTGTCATTGTTGATGACTGATACATGTTAGCTAGTTTTAAAATAACTATCTTGGGAAGCTTGATAAAAACAGTACTGAGCTCTGATTTGCTGTGGATATACTGTTACCATTTCCACAGGAATGTGTCATCTTTGCTTACAGCCAGTGGAAAAATCTTTAACTCAACAGAAAGCATGGAGTTGCACGATAGTGTGGTAAAGAGTGTCACAGTTTCTACAAAACCTTCCATCTCAGTGCCCAAACCCAGCAGGAACATGTCTTCAGCTAATCTTCCATGAAAGCTTTCGGTTGAAATTCACAAGTAGATCCTGTATCCGTCTCTGGAGAACATCTTGCAGGAAAGGTAAGATGGAGAGAGAGCAGGTAAAAACAAACGTGCGATACATGGCGTGCAGTTTCTCTGCGCACTGTGTGCATTTTAGGGGAGGGAAAGTCTCTGTGGAGCTGCATGCAAAACAGTTCAAGGACAGAACCGAAGTTATTCCAGCAATCAGTCTCCTCCGTGCCTTACCCACCCCAAGGGTCGGCTATTGCAACCTGTGAAATGACTCTGCCAGGCAGGGACACAGCATGATTTCCAGTGTATCCAGATGAAGCACCTCAGCTTGAAGCTGCAAAGAAGGATTCTTCCTTACCTTGGCTATTTGATGCAAAAGACAGCAGCATCAGGCAGCTGGCTGCGTTACAGGGAGTCATGTTGGTAACCTCTCTCTCCTCCAGAGAGACTTCATACCAGACTATTACGGATACGAATACTTTTGTCAAAAGCAGAAACACACAGACATTTTACAAAATACTGGCTAGACACCGTAGCACACTGACTAAAAGAAATAATTTGAGTACAAGCTTAATAAGGCAGGGTAAAAAAATCCACCACCTTACAGCTAATGACACTTTGAAAATGAGTCTGCGGTGTGCGATTTCAGTGATGCCTGAAGGAGACAAAGCTCGTTCTGTTCACATTTTCCACACTTTCAGTCAAACAGATTGCTGAATAATCATGTTTTCTTTATTTTAATGGGTGAGGAAGCTATTATACAGAAGATGTTTCCATATGTCGTAGTTAATAAAGGCAATTCTTACTAATAAGAATAGGCTGTCTCCACTCAGTTACCTGATGAAAAGCCCTCCCGTTGTGAGGAAAAAACAGATCCTGTGGCTAGAAGAGACTCCTAGGGCTGCACACTTCAGCAGCTACTGGAAAGAACTGTAAGATGATGAATCCCAGATCTTCTCCCATTGAGTCCAAATCAGTGACATTCACTAGGGTGCCCAGTGTACTAGGAGCACTTCATGTCACAATCTCTCCTTCATATTCACTCTTTTCTTGCTGGTGAAGGACAGTGGACAAGACCTGGATCCACCACTCCAGAGAATAATTATCAAGTCCCTTCAGGAGGGTCAAGGTGCTTTCTTTTTTGAAGAGGCATCTGGGTCACCGCCTCAAAAGATCAAAATCCTATGTGGAGAGTATGGCTAGTTATAGGCTGAGATCACAGATGCTTTTTCAGGCTGAAACCATAAATCATATGGGGGGGAGTTAATTTTTGTGGAATCACCTGGAGGTATGAGACACCACTTACATCTTTCATCTTTCTAATCACAGAGCTGAGTGCACGTCCACAACTGGATGAAAACCTCACATCTATACTATACTGTTAGAGCTACCTAGTAAAGACAGAGAAAAAAAAAAAGTATTAAGCTCATCTCAGCTTATTACGATGTGTTCAGTGTCTGACTACCTCTTAAAAAGTCATACAGAAACCAAACCTATTGAAGGACACAACTTGCTTCAGATAATCAACGTATCCCAACTAGGTTTACACAGCAGTGCTACACACTGGTTGCCTCTTGATTTCAAAGTATGGCAGAGATTGTTCACCTGTAAGTACCTGAGTAGAAAAAAGACCTGCCTCTGTTGCCATTCCCACTTTCAGGAGGACTGACAGTTTCCTACAAGTAGTTTCAAAAGGCACATCATCTTTCCATGCTAAGTATCCACCTGCAGCCTTACAATTATGAACTTCAAAGGATTCTGCAAGACATTTTTTTATCCAGACATATCAAAATGTAGAAATTATTTTGTGGAGAGATATTTCTAACAGGAAATACTCTATTTCTTCATGTTTTCCTGGGAATGGTGTTCTGCTGGTTTTCACTATTCAGAATAGGCTCCAAGAAATGCAAAAAATACCCAAAGACATAGGTGGATGCTTGCAAATATATAGACAATGGGACCAGTTCATACACATGCAACTTGTCCAGCTGGATGTTCACTGCCACACATACTACTTTCCAGGATTTTAACCAAAGCTATTATGGCCAGAATTTTGAAAACTGGCCACTAATTATGGGCACTTCCTAATTCAGTCTAAGTTTCAGAACTGCTAAACAACTCCTTGCCCTCCTTTCAAGGTCTGGATGCTCAGCAATTCAGAAAAATCAAATCCCAAGTGACTAAAGTCAATAGTGAAAAATATGAACACCCAAAGTTTGCAGGTGTTTTCGAAAACGCAAGCCCCTCAAGCCTGAATTCTGCTTTAAAGACACTACAATAGTGTTGAAAGCTGCATATTTTTGTATCAAGCCACTAGAAGGCATAGACAAATGAGGTGGGCGGACTCTGCATCCGAACTCCTTCAGTGTGGTTACTGCAAACAGTCCCTCCCTGACCAGCCAACGCTGATGACTGGGAATGGAGGGAATAGCAGGACAATTCAGGATAGGCCTGCACAGTGAACCAGAAGTAGCGCTTGCAGAGACGAGGGAAAAGAAGGGCTGCTGTTGGATCCTGCCCAGAACACAGAACCCAGCCATAATCTGTCCATACAGTGTTCCTGTCCTGAAGATGTAGAAGGTCCTGTTGTACCTGCATTCACAATTAAACATGATTCTGACATGATTATGGTGCCGACGCTGTTATATCTTCAGTGCATGATGGTTCCTGGCTCTGTTCGTGTCTGCCTACTGTTCATGAGAGACTTTGTCTTTGCAATGATCGGAGAACAAGGTGTTCTGGAAGCTCTTTTCAGCTGTGATCTGGTGAACTTCTTACGGATTTTTCTGTAAGGAGGAAAGGAGGAAAGGAGGGAAAGAAGAGAGAGACAACAGAAGAGATAAATCTCAGTCTTTAACAGAAGGCTGCTCAAGAGCCAATAACAAACATAACAAATACTCTTACCAGAGCAGGAAGGCTAGTTCATGGAAAAGAGACTTGCAGTCAACAAGAGTGAGCCCTGTCCATCAACTGATGATTCACAGTTGTCTCCAACTGATAATTGCTCAGTGAAAAGTGAGTTGTGTTAGACAATATTTGGACAATAACATTTAATTATATGAAATCTTGGGTCAGAATGCTCAAATGGTGAATCCTCACATGTGATATCAACACAGGAATGAAGGACCACAGAAGAACGAACCTCATTAGCACCCAAGTGAATGTGTTACCTCTGTTAAAGTGATGGACTGGGAACAATTGTTATTTGCACTGTATCAATTCTGCAGATAACATATGACCCAAATCTCTGGACTTTTTGTGCTAGTGCCTTTCACGTGCAGTAAATTCACTTCAATTTTAGACTTTTAGAGGATAAATCAAACCTAGTAACTACAGGCAGCCATGTTGTTTGTATTGTAATCTTACACATCCAAGGATAGTTAATTCTGAAGGAAAAAGCTTTGTTATGTTCCAACTGCTCTCTCTGCTATTATAAATCAATAACCACAATGCTGAGTGTATCCAGGGTAGGGTATCAGACAACACAGAAATGACACACAGAGAGTATGTCAAGAACCATCTTCCTTAGCAGAGTTATGACTATTAGATGTTACTGGAAATTGACCTATTCTCTGAATTCACTCAAGTCAAGAACTCAGCATTCATTTAGGTAGCTTTATAAATTACGGAGATTTTGAGCTTATGGAAATGAATTAAAGCAAACCGGGACCTCTAACACTAAATGAGACTAGGCTTTCTAATTCAAACTTTGCAAGTTGAAAACGCGACCTGACTAAAAACTGCAGGGTAATGATATGCCTACCTGAATCAAGGCTCTGAGATGGTAACTCAAGATGTGATTTGTCCCTTTCATCTTAATGGGCTGTTAACTCTGAAACTGAAAAATGGTGGCACATGACATTGAAAATACAGGATCAGCTTAAAATAAGTTCTATTGAATACTAAAATAATAATTTTCACATTAAATTTCAAACACATTTTTAGTTACTGGTTGAGTATTCCGCAGGAATGTAAGCTTCCAGTCGAGTAACTGGGCCACAGAAGAGAACATAATCAAAGACAAAAAGTCAAAAATCAAGAGGATATACTGTGCTCTTAGAGGTTAAAGGAAGCCTGGAAAATACATCTGGTTTAGTTAATATACTTAAAAGGTGCAGAGAAGTATTCATTTTAACTGCCTGAAAGAAGGATGTCATTGGTATCTCATGGCCTGGAATATCAAATGAGGATTTAGCATCATTCAGTAACAAGCACAACAGAAGAAAATGAAAGGAATCACCAGAAAGTTAAGTTTAGGCTTTTCACACAGTCCCAGACACACACAAACTTACTGTTTGAGTACTTACTTTACTGGTCGTCTTAAATTAAAGCCTAAGAAGATATTAAACTGATTGACAAGATATTGCATACCTTCCAGAATGGCAAGATCATAGAAATGTTACCTGAGACTGGTAGAAACATGTATTTCTAAAATAATGATACAGCTAAGTTTTATAAATTCATGTGAATAGACAATAGCCATTACTCACAGTGATTATTAATGGGGATCATTCCAGCAAAAGCTTACAGAATTGGATCCCTTTTGATAGATTTGTTTGCAAAACTTTGTATTTATTTACAGCATGATTGTGGTCATTAATCATTTGAGAAGTCCAAGGTTTACAAAAATATTAGGTAATTGTTTGCCCTTCTGAATTTTTAATATGGTAACTTCACAAACTGCCCAGAGATTCCTACTAATGAAAGTAATTTGCAGCTGACACTAAATGTAAGGGCAGTAGAGTATTTGTGATTACAATTTTTGATTATTTTGTAAGGACAGTAAAGTCAAAAGATGTAGTTATTCTCATTAAATACTGTTTTGAAACTAGTATGAAGAAAGGCAGAACAAAAAAGGGGGAGGCACCACATTATTACATCAAGCAAACCACAAAACGAGTCAACCTTCACTTAGTATAAATGAAAGTAGCTCTATATAGGCTGTCAGAAGAACTAATCTGGTATGCACTCTAAAAAGACAATGCAGCACTTCTATTTAAACAGCATTGTTACAATGCTTCCAGAAATCAGCTTTCTGGGATACAGCCCTTCAGAAATAAAACTGGAAGAATGGAAATTTCCACTGACTTCATTAAACATAATATTTAAACAACCATTTCGCTAAAAGCCAAAACTGTTCTTTTTACTGCAAAAAATACAGAGGGTGGAGAGAACTGATCCTTTGCAATGAAGAATTTAGCATCTAAATACAGTCAAGCTTTTTGAGAAGCACTGATCAGGTTTTATAATGCTTCAGAGTTTTTTCAGCACTTAAACATGCAGGTTGTAATAGTAGCCGATGAAAGGCAGGAAATTCAAAGATAAGGTTGTCATCGCCCTTTCACTCGGAGCACTTCTCCTCCCTCCCCCAACGATACAGTGAATTAAGGGCAGAGTCACCTTTAATGTTCAATTTCCTGTTCCTTTTTCAGTTAATACCAGCCATATGTTTTAATTACATAAAGCTTTTATTTGGTGATTGCAAGTAAATGGCTTTAATATCTGTAGCGTTGGAAACATCCTTTGCAGTTGTTATGAAAGAGTAATTTTCCCTCTGCTTTTTCCTTTGACTTTTGTACTAGTGCTTGAAGTACAATGTGTTACAGACTTCATTTGAAATGTGAACTAAAAAGTATTTTAAAGCCTTTGCGTTGTATTTCCAGCCCTCTTGAGACCACAGGTATGAGAATGAATCAAACTTTTAACAGGTGATTGGTATATGAAGGCCACTGTGCTCATTTTTGTGTCAAATGTGTTGCACTGCTGCTAATGAAGGTACAAGACAAATTTTTTATGTCTGTATGATACTTCAATTAGTAACTGCAGATAAAGATAGGCAAGACCCCTGGCACCTGTTCAGGGAAATACGGATGTACATAAGTACCACGCACTATTAAGACCTATCTTCGCTTCACAAGTTTCATACACAGACTGAAACCTACTGGCTAGAAATAATAGGCTGCATAGGGCATTTATGCCATGCTTAAATTTAATCAGGCAAACCATTTCAATGAACCAATCCTTTCTCAGGATCTAAGTGAACTCCATGTAACAAACCATTTGGTGAAATTAAGAACAATCCTATAAAATCTGTTATTTCCAGATTTCTCACGAATAGGATAGGTGGTAACAAAATTTCTCATTTGTAAAAGCTGACTCAAAGTCCCCTGCTCTAATTATGCCATATATTAAAACAGCAGCAATTTTTAAGCTTGAATAAAATAAAGAAAGGTGACCTTCTGTTGATGTTAGACAAGAATGTGTTTTTCAAGCCGTTTGTAACAGGAGTTAAAGGCATTACTTGCTTTAGCTTTGTTGACATTGGGCATATCTGTTATCTGTTACTGCTTCTATATAGAAACTGTTGTGTATCAGTCTTGCCTCCTCTGCGTTAGACTCAGAGTTGTGATGACTAGAGTGACTTTGGCCTATTCAGCTATACCAACAGTACTTAAGAAGTAACACTAAATAAATTCAAGTTATGGCAGAAGTTTTTACTGTGAGATAAATTAATTGCATTTAAAGGCCCGCTGACATTTTAGCAGATGACAAACGTTATTTAGAAAGAAACACACATTTTCCTATGAAGGTGAATCGCCCCCAACACACACACGCATTTTTGAGATGTCCATAACTCTTCTTAAATACCAAGGTCCAGAAGTGTTTTTGATGCTCTGCTTCCACTAAAAATATATTAAGGACCTAACACAAAACTGGCTACAGAGTTTTAAACTGAAGGGCATAGTATTATGTTTCATGCTGTACCTAAATTAGTTTGATAGTTTCACCCAAGTCTTTCTTAGACTGATGCCAGTGGAGTAACACCCTTATATACAAAGACCTAGTGCTGTGGAAGTGTATTATTACCCAACTGTTGCTGGTAGCACAAGGAATATGCACAGGTCAGCAGCAGGTGTAAAAGACAATCATAGCTGAAATTCTGCCTAATCTCTAGATTGGGGTGAAGTATTCTGGTATGACTCGCCAATTGTAAACAGGAACTTGAATGTGCCAGGTGCACAAAATCCTGCCAGCCCTGGAAGGAGGTGGAGTTTTAGACATTAACTACAGCAAGGCAGGATTTGGCATCCTGGCACAAGTTTTATGTGAAACTTGCAATCTAACCATTGAGACATTCAGAGAGAAAAATTAAACCAAAAAAAAAAAAAGTCTTCTAGGCAAAGATTCATGAAGCTGCTGCTGCTCCAGAGCAATGTAAATTTTATGCAATGTAAATTTTCAGTGCAAGCTCAAGGTCAGTTAGCAAAAACAACTATTTAAAAAATAACTACCAGTCCTTGGGGGTTATTAGCCCCAATTATCACTCATTCCTCCGAGAGCTTCTTGTATCCAGAGGTACGCTATAACTACTCAGTGGATTAAATTACAAGAGGGGGCACTATCTTAGGAGGCAGATAGACTTTCCATTAATTTAAACAGGCTTTTAAACAAAGTGAAAGGCCAAAATGTATGCAATGCTGTCTGCTCGAAGAGAATTTAACTGGGCTGAAGCTGTAAGTGCTGGTTACGGAGAGACTGAATGACTCACAGGACTTCCTACTTTTCTACCTGTGCGGAAAGGAGAAGTATTTTATTTAACTATTTGGATTGCTGGCTTAGATTTTTTTTTTTCCCTTAGCACTTTGAGGCTAAAACTTACCCATATTCCATTAAAGTTTTAATCTAACCTCAAAATGACAAAAACTAGGAGAAATATATTTGGAAGGCAGAAGTGGGTTGACACTGATACGTCTTTTTAAAATAAGCTCCTTTTTTTCGTTTATAA